CGTACATATCTTTGAAAAGAAAAGACAAGGAACACACATTAGAATCACACTCTCGGAATTTACACGCCACAACGATCGCCACTTTCGCGCAGGGTGGATGTTTGAAACGTGTCAGCGGATTTTTCGCGACGAAGATAATGAAAGATTCGCTCGCGCGAAAGAGCCACTTTTTCGCTCTCTGTGTCGTAGACAGTAACAATAACGTGTGTACGGGAGACAAATCATTATGAGTCGGGTTTGTTCAATTCCTTTTATAGCGCTTGTGTACGTATGTGTGTATATGTGTGTATGTGCGACAAATAAATAAGAGCAGAGTCCGCAAGGTGCTCGCCGAAGTATCGATGAGAGATACGTGCATTGTTTACCGACGTGTATTGCGCTTATCAGTTCGAGCACACAATTTTATCACGTTTAGAATTGTAAAAGCGTGTATTACATAACTCGCATGTGTGTTCGATGCGGGATGAACGTAAAAGAATGTGTGATTTAGCAAACGCAAATTTCGCATCGCGGCGCGGCGGTATTTGTGAATAATGCGAAAAATCATCGATAAAAATGTGTGACGGGGATGGAGCATTAATAAGAGATACAAGAACGAAGATATTGCACTGCACGGAATTCCCGGAGAACTCACGTGAAAATACCTTGCCGTTCGACATTATTTAGATATCCTCAAAATGATATATGTTGTTATATATACAACGTAACGTTTACAAATCATATATATATATATCATGCTAGGAGATTGTGTTTATATATATATATAAACATAATTTATATATATATATATAAACACAATCTCTTAGCATGAACTAAATAAAAGGAAAAAATATATATAAACCGAAACAGATAGGTTCGATCTCGTAAAAAAAAAAAAAAAGTCTTCCAAAGTGAACAACGGAACATCGGAGAAGGTCGAACGTGACAAGAATCCAAATTCGCGATAATTCGTCCAGCGCGCGTGTCGGTAATCAACAGAATGATGTATTTTTACGCGACAGGACAATGAAATCCTCGCACCCGGCGAATCAAGTGGATTGTCATTCTTCTCGACGGATTTCCTCATTGATCGCGAGAAATCATCTTCGCTAAAACGGCCGACAAACGTGCTTCGCCGTTTCAGTGATCTGCACGTATAAGAAAGAGAGAAAGAGAGAAAGAGAGGAAGAGAGGAAGAGAGAGAGAGAGAGAGAGAGAGAGAGAGAGAGAGAGAGAGAGAGAGAGAGAGAGAGAGAGAGAGAGAGAGAGAGAGAGAGAGAGAGAGAGAGAGAGAGAGAGAGAGAGAGAGAGAGAGAGAGAGAGAGAGAGAAATCGCGATCGATCACAACCAATCGCGTGTGGCGATCGCGAAATAATTTACAAAAGATACATTTATATAATGCACACGCGCGCCATAATTCATTAAAATGCTCGAAGGACGCGACGAGTTTTTGACGTTACGATCGTTCGCAAAACAAAAAATAAAGAGAAAAAAAGCAGAAGATTTTTTTCCTCCCGCGTGCCTGAATTTCCGTCGTTGATACGTTGAATAATTTGAACGGGCGAATGCCAAATTTCGCGATTTCTCGGTTCGGTTTTTGCAACACTATGCGAATATATATACTATATATATGTTTGATAATAATATATATTAATATCAATATATTAAAACATATTAATATTAATATAACATATACCACACATATATGTATAAATATATTAACATTAATAAATATTAATATATATTAATATTAATATATAACACGGCGAAAGTAATTGGCTCGCGCGTTTCTTTTTCCCCTTTTTTTTTCTTTTTCCATGAAATCACCGACATTTACGTGGACTCCGCCAAGTACGACGGTCTTCCGTAAAATCGTCCGAGGTTTCACCGAATCGCCCGGATTCTTGTAACGTCGCTCTCGCCGTGACACACGCGTATGTGCATACGGGATGATGTGTCAGGGGGAAACCACCAGTAGGGAAGTACAGCTATTGCTCGCTATATAGCGTCTACTCTCCTCTCGGATACCGGGAAGTGTGATTAACAAAAAACGATCGTACAACAGCTAAGGCTCGTCGTGGCGTTACGCGGTAGCTAGCGTGTGTTTTATCTCTTTATCGCGTGTACAAAATGGCATTTCGGAGCATTATGGTGTCGCGACCAAGTCGCCCGACCTTCGGTTGTTCGATTCCTTGAGCGAGACCAGCCGACGCGATACCGTTGACTCCGAGGACGACACGTTTGTCCGGAGACAGAACTCAGAGTCAACGGAGGTAATGATTAACGGGCGAGGGGGGGGGGGGGGGGCGGGGGAGGAGGAGAAACGCTCGCTATGGAGCGATGCTCCGAAATGCAGCAGCGCGGAGCGGAGGATCGCTTCCCTCGTCGTGCGAGCGACGAGCGCTTCCGCGTGGACGCGATTCCCCGCTCCGTGTAATCTCCGGACTACGATCGCGCGGCGCGAGCGCGCCTCGACGACACGCGAATCGAAAGCGGACATGTTCGGTCGCGGCGTTTCGTCGCGCGCCTTCGAGGAGGCCGAAGGCGCGCAGCAACGAGAGAAATACGGTCGTCGTTTCGCGTGTCTATCGGCGTTTCCTCCGAGAGAGAACGTGATCGAGCGACCGAAGCTTCCTTGACGGCTGTCCGAGTGACGCGCCCGAGATCAGAGGTCGCCCTCCGCTTTCGCTCGTAGCCATCTCTCTCTCTCCTCGTCCACGGATAATCACCTATGTACCGGCGTGTGCTATTTCGCTATAATTTGTCCTATATCCTTAACGTGCTCTCTTAAAAATCTATCTCTATATGTACAAACAATGTGTGTGTGTGTGTGTGTGTGTGTGTGTGTGTGTACGTGCGCTCGTCACGCGCCAAAGATCGCATCGCCAACGAAAGTGGCGAGAGCCATCCTTTTTCTCCTCGTCCTTGTCGTTATCGGAACGTCGTCGGAACACTGCAAGCACGAGTTGTCACCGTGACGTGACTGCGACATCTCGACGTACGACGCGACGTTTCGACGCTGCGCGTCAAGATGAACGCGAATTAGCCGCGGGCAAGGCTGAGCACAGCGTGGAAGACTGCGGTGTCGGCGAGTCACACACACTTTGAACCTTGCGGGTCGCGCGTATGCATGAATGTTCCTATTTAGCGCGTCGACGCAGTGACGAAATATTGCAATTATGCAAGCGGAGTTGACCGTTTGGAGAAACTAAATTTACAACCTACAAGATGATAATCCCTAAGTCGACGTGAATCCGTGACCGTGACTGTGCGATAGGATGGGAGAAGAGGGAGGGAAAGGAACGAATATGCTCCATAAGAACTTTTAGATTGAAGGAAAAAATAATGACAATAACTAAGAAAAACATTGAGGAAGAAGAGAAGCGAGAGAGGCAGAGAGAGAGAGAGAGAGAGAGAGAGAGAGAGAGAGAGAGAGAGAGAGAGAGAGAGAGAGAGAGAGAGAGAGAGAGAGAGAGAGGAAGGAAAGGCAGAAGGGATAGACAATTGCTCGGCGAGAAATGATTGCACGATAGAATCGACTGAAACCCATTGTCTACCAGTTTGTCATCGACTTTAAATAGATTTGATATTGTGCGCGCCGATGTGTATAAATAGATCAAGCGCGCGGCATCCAAAGAACGAAGCCAGCAATTACAATTTGCCAGCGGAAAGAAGTCGTACTGCGAAGATCGATGCCTAATAATATAATATACCGCACATGACGGAGGGAGAGAAGAGAACGAACGTAACGATTACGCAATAATTTGTAGACTACTCGTGCTCCCTCTTCGCCCGGGGACTCGTCATTTTTTTTTTCCTTTTTTCCCTGACGATTACTCTCACACATATATATCCGTGTTAAAAATTATAAACGTACACGTAATTATACATACGCAATCGAATAGATTAAGGAGAGAAGAAGAAAAAGGCTGTTACTGCGATCGTCGCTAAACAGAAAGGCCAAAACTGAAATGCGCTGTGCGTTCACTGTGCTATTAGATATCTCGTAGCTGCGCGTTGAACATTGAGTCAGTGCTGTAAGCAGATTATTACCAGCGTGAATCAGACACGTAGGCGATGATTCGTCCGGAGATACCGCGCATATTATCGCGCTTTATCATATGTTACTTTTCGTCGTAATGCGCGTTAGGGCCGCGCATTACGCATCTGTAGCTGCAATTTTTAACATTACCCACGGCCTTGAAAACCGAACAACTGACCAATTCGAATTTCCTCCCGCTCGCCGCCGGGGACAGGGATCGAAGTCGGACGAAACCTCTAATTACAGCTCTGACTGACTGAGTTCGCAATGTCCTTAAATGAACGCATCGATGCATTTCGCGCGCGCTCGGCTAACAAACATAGACGACGATTGAGCGCATCGGGCGCATCTCTCGCTGAGGATGCGACCTCCACCACAGCGCACCACCATCGCATTCCGCGGCACGCAGCACTCTCGCATTGTCCGTTCCCTCATGAGTTCCGTACAATGCTGTTTCGGCGTCAACGTGCAGCCTCCTCGGGTACGAACCGCGACGTATCATCGCACTCCCCGACTGTCATCGACCACAAACAAGAGCCGTGTGTCGTTAACGTGCCTCTCTCTGTGAGCTATGCGCGCTTCGATGTTCACACGAGCGCGAGAGCTCGCTTGTTCCGGCATCGACATAAAGACTCTTCTTTCCATCTCGCTGGAGAACGCTTCCTCGTCGTCGACGTTCGCTTCAAGCTCCAGGTTCATTCGTGAATCCTCCTCGCCTCTTGCTCGTCACTCTACGCTGCGTCTTTCTCCTCGCCACTGTTAACCCTGGTTTTGTCGCGCGGGCAAACGTCCGACGACGACGACGACGACGACGACGACGACGACGACGACGACGGCGACAACGACAACGACGACGACGACGACGACGACGACGACGACGACGACGACGACAACGACGACGACGACGACGACGACGATGACGACGACGACGACGACGACGACGACAACGACGACGACGACGACGACGACGACGACGACGACGACGACAACGACAACGAAGACGACGGTGCCAGGTCAGACCGATGCTCCAGGTGCATCGCCGTCGTCTAGGTCTCCAGCCCCGGTACCAAACTGTGGAAGGTCTGTATGTCGTGAAAGGCGCGGCCGCAACTCTGGTTGTTGTTGCGCTCGAACTTGGTGAGATCGAACTGGTGCTCATCCAACGACTGCAGCTCGGCCAGCCGCTCCTCCAGCGTTTTCGCCGAGTCGGCAAACCGGGCGAAGTCGCAGATTCGATCGGGATCCACTACATCGCTCACGTCCATCGTGGTGTCGCCCGGTCGTGATAGCTGTGCGCTCGCGTCGTCGTCGAGGACCGCGGGAAATCCAAGAAGCGTGCTACTGCAGCAGTTCACGCCGTTAATAGCGTCGCCGTTAGTCGTCGTGCTGGCGTGGTTGCTGCCGTTGTCGGTGCTGCCGGGTCGCACGTCCGTCAGACCGCCCAGACGATCCTCCGTGTAGCTGTTCACCATCGAATGATTCGACGTGTGCACGTCCTGGAGGTCGTCGATGTGCGAAAGTAGCGACGAGTGCGACAGGATGTAGAAGTCGTTGAATACATCGTCCTGCAGATCCAGGTCGTCGTGCCTCTGCCTCTTAGGGCTCAGCATATCGTTCCTCGAGTCATCGGCCAACCTGTCGGATTAATAAAGACAGGTCACACTCTATGATCTCTCGCTGGGTGGTTTAAGCACGCTACGGTGACTCGCTGGAAATCGCCGAATGGAATCACCGATCATCGCAACGCGCGGACATTGTAACGGGACGATTCATTCGAAAAAGTTTGAGGTCGCGACCAGGTGTAGCTTGTCAGCTCGCGAGGTTAGAGAGAGAAGAAAGATGGGGGAGAGATAGAGGGATTGTTTGATAAAACAGTATTATTACAACTGGTAGGTGAGCAGCTACCAGTCTTCGTCCCGGAAACTCAAATGTATTTCGAGCATCGCCAGTCGTAAGAGAGGAGGATAGGACGACATTGGAGGTAGCACGACATCAGCTACGTACCTTTTCCTCGACGACGCCTCTTCGTCCGTTACGTCGGCGATGAGGTTGCTGGCGACGCTGTTCTCCTTGCTCGCGTCGTCCATGTACGACACTACCGGAAGCCCGTAATTTCGCGTCTTCTCATCTCGATTCTCACGCTGCAGTCGTCGCACCGCATTATTTATCAGCACCGATCTGCACAGGCTCGCCTCAGGATCCTCGATCCTCCTGAGCTTCACGGCGGAGATCTTCAGTAAGCGGCGGCGTTCCTCACGAGCGCGATACTTGGCGGAAATCATCGTGGGTCGGCTCCTGCGTATCACCAGGTCCTCCTCCAATGTCATTTTAGAGTCTGCAAAGAAGAGATGCGAACGTTACTATGCGGTTTTCTGTCGTTGGATCATCTTTATCGGTCTCGCTAATGACTTTTAGACGTAGCCATTGTTAACGATCGAAGCTCGAGTCGACGTCGACTCGCACGAGTGTGTTCCAGCAAAAAAGAAAAGAAAAAAAAAAAAAAAAAAACAGTGGTTCACGGTATAAATTTATCGAGCAAATAGATTGAAATGGACGATAATGCATTATTTATATTACACATTACTCAGCACAAACTTTTTTACAGCGCGAGCCACACGCTCGCATTTATTAAGGAGAGACAGTATTTTCGTTTATAACGGTTTACGGCGCAAAGACGGTGACCGCATGCACGCACGCATGTATTCGCGCGCGTACGCTTGCTCGTACGCGTTTCCCGGAGAGGAGAGGGAGAGCGGGTTAGCGGTATGTGCAAGTACGCACTTACGCACTCACATGTAGCGCGCTTACTATATAATGGACAAGGTCTCTTTTTTTTCCTCTTGCCGTCGTTGTCGTCATCGTCATCGTCGTCGTCGTCGTTGTCGTCGTCGTCGTCGTCGCCGCCGTCCGCGACTGACCTAGTTACACGGTGCTTCCGTCTTTCCGCGCCGCGCAAATAAATCCCGGCCGCCTACCACTTCGTCATGGGGAGGGGAAAAATACGCGTACCGCTATCGCGGTGTCTCATAATCGACGACGACAACGACTACAATACAATGATGATGATGATGATGATGATGATGATGATGATGACGACGACGAGGACGACGCATCGGATCGTTTTGCGGATCGCGCGGACTTGGCGAAATCGCGCTAACGGTCACGGAAATTGTCGCTTCACGTTGGGAATTTCAGATTTGCGACTCGATGCATCGTCTCCCGGTTAAAGCAGAAGTATTAGAGCCACGTCGACGTTTTCTCGGCTCGAGTCGTCGGAGTTGGAATCTCCAAAGAGACCGCTCGCTAGGATCAACGGAGGCGTACACGCAAGCGCTGTCGCGTTCTCAATATTCCTTTCTTCATCTTTTCGGGAAGATGACTGAACGTGAGAGAGAGAGAGAGAGAGAGAGAGAGAGAGAGAGAGAGAGAGAGAGAGAGAGAGAGAGAGAGAGAGAGAGAGAGAGAGAGAGAGAGGAGGAGGAGGAGGAATATACATAAAACTGTTCAGAGAAACGTACAACCGCGATTAAGAGAAATTTCACACGTATTCGTTGATATTTATTCGAACGCAACTCGGAAAGGAAAATGTTTATTTAAAAAACGTATACGTGACGCATCGTTCGATGTCGGTAGGCCACCGACAGCCGAATTTTTATCGCGCACGTATCACACACGAGGCATTTTACACATGCGATCATCTTATTGTCTCCTTCTCTCTCATATCGTTTTAATATTAAGAAGGAAAAATATTCCGTTCATGAATTCTTCTTTCATTCTCCTCCCTCCCTCGCCCCTCTCGCTCTGTTTTCTCTCTCACAGACTTGATTTTCGGGAGATTTTCCTACGGGCGACGTATCAGACCGCCATATGAGTTACTTCCGCAATCCGGTCACGGGATCATTTCCGGTTTTCGTGTAATGAAGCACGTATCGCCGCGAAACCGCGATCGATCGATATCGGTCGATTCTGCACTCCCGCGTAAAAATTATCAATCCGCCATTCCACCGAGCCGATAGCCACGGTTGTCTGTTTTTTTCTTTTTTTTTTTTCGCAAGGTCCTTTGCTTAATCGATCTCGTATATGCCACGCGCCGCCTCGAGAAAGCCAATTTAGAACGCCTGGAGGGCCTGAAGGTGAGTTTCGTTTTATTGACTCGCGGCGGTTGGCTCTTAGAGACAGTACGTGTGTCGTTACTCTGCAACTCGTAATATCCACACAACATCGAGATTGCTTCCGATCATCTACGCAACATTTTTTCGCGTGCGTAGTCTCCGAACAGTACAGATGAGTTGCGTGCCTTGTCGTGCGGGGTTTACGCGCGCATTTTACGCGATGGGTTACTGCCCGATTTTCTTCTGCACGACATAACCTCGACATAATTACTTTTTGAGGAAATAATCGTTCGCGAATCGTGTCACCCGGAAGTGAACGTCGGAAGGAAGGATTCGCCGCGCTGCCGGAAGATGTCGCACGAAGTGCTTCCCGGAGCGCGCGTGTTCAAGATGGTCGCCAGTGCGCGAAGTCGACCGTGTCGAAAGAATACGACATTCGACCGCGGCGACACTTGTTGCTAAGACTGATCGTCCGTGTCGGAGTAAAAAGGCTCGTATTCGCGATCGCGTCTCTCGAATCTACCCTCGAAGGACGACGACGAGGATGGCGGAGGCGGAGGCGGTGGCGGTGGCGGCGGCGGCGGCGGCTCGCGCGGTCTCGTAGCCAGAGATCGTTTTTCCTGCGCAATTCGAAAACTCGACCGTAACCGTTCCTCGAAAGTCGCTCGCCTTCGAGTGGAATGGTAGTTTTACGTAAGTGTTTTTATATTCGCAAGATTTGCATTCTGTTTGGCGGCGAGCGGATTCTAGATGAAAGCTGAAAATGCGTAAAAAGTGTCCGAGAAGTGTAAAAAGTATGCGCAGTTGCTCGCGAAAAACCTCATTACTCGCTCTTAAAATTCAAACACTAAAAAAGGAAAAAGAAAAAAGGCAAAAAAAAAGGGTGGAAAAAATACCGGAGCGATCATCGGCGCTCACCTCGCGACCGGGAAGAATGAAAAAAGAAAGTCGCAAAAAATGTTCAGCGCGCGAGTTACTCTCGTGTCGTACGAACATGGCCGACGATCGAGCGTCGCGCTCGTCTTCGTGCGATGTATATAGTCGAGGTCTCTCTCACTACCGCCAAATCAGAATGACAGTCAAATTGGCGGGTAGGAGGGGAGCGAAAATCGAAAGTCAAGCATAATATACGTATCGGGGACGTTGAAGTGACGCTGCATGCGCGCGCGCGCGCGAACGTTCCTCGTCATTGGCGGATTACTTAATTCGCACTGCGGGATATAGAAAGAGAGAGGGTGAGAGAAAGTAGAGTAGAGAGAAGTATTTATTCTATTTCGGGACACCGCTCCTCCTCCGAGAACAATCGGGTCGTATTAATCAAGATAACACAAACGTTACGCTCGCCGTGTAACGCAGCGAGCGTACGCGAACGAACGTCGCAGTTTCGACGATTAATGTGTCGTCTGGTCGCCGCCGCCGCCGCCGCCGCCGCCAAGAGGTGCTTTTACAAAAGCAAACAAAAAATTCAATAAAACCTACGCGATAGATACTTTCGTCGGCGTAAAATTCTTGCCAGCCAGCACCGTTCGCCGGTAAGTGACTCGAGAATGATCCAGATTCTCCAGTGCGACCTCAGTGCGACGCACAGTTCGACGCGCCGAGAATAATTTTTGATAGATAGTCACTGCGAAGTAAGAGAGAGAGAGAGAGAGAGAGAGAGAGAGAGAGAGAGAGAGAGAGAGAGAGAGAGAGAGAGAGAGAGAGAAGAGAGAGAGAGAGAGAGAGAGAGAGAGAGAGAGAGGCGATTTTACGCTCGAGGTGCGCCTAGACTAACTTTCTCCACGGGGGAAAAACCGCCATGGATACGTTACCTAACCTAACGCGCGCGCAAAGTCCGCCTTGCAATCTCGCTGACTCGCGCGTACCTCCTCCCCCTTCCGCCTTCCTCCTTCCTTCTTCTCCGCCTCGTCTCTCTTCTCATCTCTCGGCCGTCTCCCTTTCCCTTCGCGAGAATCGCCCTCCACACCAACTCCCGCCGTTTATTTACATACGCTAACACACATTGTCGTCGCGCTGGCGGCCTCGCGCGCGCGACCTTCTTTGTCGCCACTGTCGCTGTTAATCTCCCGAGACAGCGAGATGTTTTAACATTAAATGTCGTCTCCCGACGCGTTTAGTCGGGATGACGCGCCGAGGCTTGAATTCTACGGGGCGAGTCGCGTTACAAGATTCATGGATTTAATCAGCGGCGGACGTGCACGCGCGATCGAAAGTACCGGATCTGAGAAGATCTGAGAAAGGAAGTGGCTCGAATCGCCGCGCCGCCGAGAGAGAGAGAGAGAGAGAGAGAGAGAGAGAGATGTCAATCGAGCCGCGTCACAAACGAAGTTACGACTGCGAGAAAATTTGATTTAATTGTTATTAATATCAGGAGGTGGGATAACTTTTGCACATTCCGCCTCAGAAATTCTGTGGCAGCTGAACGGCACGACGGCAGGCGACGTAATCACGTGAAAAAACTAAAAGAGAAAAAAAAAAAAAGAAAGAAATGCGACTTTCTAACGAGAGAGATTTCTAATTTCGAGAACGAAGCGCGTGCATCGTCACGCTGGATATTATGTCATTGTCGCGGTCTTTGGCAATTAAACGCAGCTCGGGCCTCGACTAAATTTAGATCCCGTTGCACGCGCCGTCTTAATATTAGGTCATGAAAAGAGGACAATAGCGCGCCGTCGAGTGAATCGTAAGGACGTTACGTCGTATATCGATTTTCCGAATAATAGCGGTGCGCTAATTAGCCTCCGAATACGTTGCAGTGTGTGTATATTACGCGTATGGCGTTTATTCGTCGGACGGTACGAAAAAAATGTTGCAGAAACTCGCACACGCCCGATAATTTGCAATTGTACCTTTCGCGCGCAGGCGCACTATTAAAAATTCACGCGACATCGCGACATTCGTTCTCAACATACGCGTGCGTATGTGCGTGTGTGCGTGTGCATATGTTACAAGATATCGAAATTGTTTTATATGATATTTCTGCGCGGTTATCCGTCCTACACAACCAACAGTCGGGTCGCGCCACTTGCCAAAAGTTAATGGCGATTTAGTCACAATGTCGGTTTAGTCGCGACTGTTTGAAAGCGGCAGCAATGGGGCGAACTACCCCCCCCCTCCTCTCCACCCCTGAAACCATTCGACCACAATACGAGCTTCGATCGCTGCACAACTGTAAACGATGTTTCTCACTGCGCGAACACGTTCGCGCCGCTATACCGAGTGGTCAAATTTTCACGGCGTCCAAATCTCCTATCGTATCCTCCGCCGCGCGGCGTTTTGCTCTGGCCCTCGGCAGAATTTTCATTCAAAACACCTGACTGTCGGCAGATTCGAGTGCTTGCTAAAAGCATCATGGATACTTCAACTCATCCCGCGAGCTCGAGCGGGATGAAAAACGTCTTCGCCGAGCGCAATTCCTCGGCCCGGCGAAGACCGGCGAAGAAATCGCGAGCGTACATACATACGCCGCTGACTTCTCTTTCCTCGATTAAATCACCGCGCCGTTCGCCGGCCGTTTCCGAAATAATCGCGGAGTAAAGTCGAAGCTCGACGTCGGGAAAATCTCTCGTATCGAAAAACTCGACTCGGTGGAGAGGTGGCGAAGAGTGTGTGCCTCTGTGCTTTCGCGGGCGAGAAACGCGCCGCCGCCCGTCAATGGCTGCGCATTATGTATGCCCCGGGTAACTCGGATAATCGCGTAACGGACGTACGTAGGGCGGCAGCTCATAATTCGGGGGCGTTATTCGAGAGCTCGTCGGTCGACGTACGCCATCGATATCACCGTCGAAACGAGGAGAGACGTCCGGCGTCGGTGGCGGGTGGTGCCATATTGAACGAGAGAGGTTCGAGAGCGCGCGCGAGCGAGCGAGCGAGAGAAAGAGAGAGAGAGAGAGAGAGAGAGGGGGGGGGAGGGAGAGAGAAAGAGATAGAAGTAGAAAGCGTTCGCTCAGTGCTACACGCGCGGGAACGAACGGCCATGACGGCGGCCCGTTGCCCGATCCGTTCTCCGCCGAGGCCTTGGAAGGAATGCAGCGGATAAAAAGAAATCGCGGTGGCGGCGCGCGCGAACGAACGTGTGCGCGTATAAATAAGTAATAGTCACGGACGGTGAACCGCGAGAGCGAGAGAGCGCATCGCGCGCGCCTGACGTCGTCGGCGTCGCGTCGATCATCGTCTCTCTCTCTCTCTCTCTCTCTCTCTCTCTCTCTCTCTCTCTCTCATCGGGCCTCTTCTCTTCTTTCGACTGTCTTT